AAAGCATTTGGGTGGACCATAACAAACATTAAAGGTATTAGGTCTTCCCTTTGTATGCATAGAATTATGAAGGAAAAGAACCACAAACCCAAGTCTAATCCAAACCCAAGTCTAACAAGTAGAGGAGACTCGACCCCATAGTGAAGGAGGTGGTTAAGAAAAAGATTGTGAAGTGGTTGGACACAGGAATTATTTACCCAACCTTAGATAGTGCCCAGGTGAGTTCCATCCATTATTTCCCCAAGAAATGAGGAGTAACAGTGGTGGAGAATAATAAGAATGAGTTGATACCCATGAAAGTGTTGTCATGTAGTGGATTTGCATTGATTATAGAAAGTTAAACACTGTCACTAGTAAGGTTCACTTTCCACTACCCTTTCTTGACAAGTTGTTGGACAAAATAGCTGGCCACCAATTCTCTTATTTCTTAGATGGATATTCAGACTACTTCTAGATTTTCATAGCTCCCAAGGACCAATATAATATCATATTCATGAGCCCCTTATGAGACCTTTGCCTTTAGGAGGATGCCCTTTAGACTATGCAATGCATCAACTACCTTCCAACATTGCATGATGTCCATTCTTTTATCTGATTGAGAAAGCGATATAGATTTTTATGGATGATTTTTCGATGTTTGGTCCCTCCTTTAACTCATGCCTGGAGAATATTGCCAAAGTGTTGCATAGGTGTGAGGAGAACCAATTAGTTTTAAACTAAGAAAAATGTCAATTCATAGTGATGGAAGGTATTGTGTTTGAACATACAATTTTTGAGATGGAGATGGATAGATTGGATGAAGAATCAAGTGATAAAGAAAATTCACCACCCACAATTGTGAGAGGAATTATAACTTTTTTAGGACACATGAGGTAATATCATTTCTAAGCCTAGCAATTTTTGAAGGTGGAAGTACTTAGCTAGGAATTTCTAAGCTAATTCTCCTTAAGTTTTAATAGAGTCGGGTGATAATGAGTTTAACCACATCTTAGTTTTATCCCTTAAGGAAAAGGATAAAAGTCTAAGTCTAACAACATCATTTGAGACGCCAACGTACTTAAATGTAGCACATAATTTTAGAAAACTAGCTAGGTGTAAGTGTCGATCCTCCGATGGGTTCCCCCAAACTGGTTGTTTTGTACCATTTGGATTATAGTCGGTTTCAGCTTAAATGAGTTAACCGCTACAACAGAAGTTTGTATGCTAAGGTGAATTTCATCTGTTGTAGGGTTTGTGTAATCCCTTAAAGGTTTTTGTACGTGATGATGATCATTTTCAACAGTTTGATTATCTAAGCTATTATGTGATGTGTTTGCGATTTATTTTAAATTGTGAGGTTCTTTTTATTTTCAATTTTTTTTACAGTTCGTTCTAACTCAGAATCGTAAGGTACCAAACCTTCAAATCTTGAAATATGCATACAAAAGTAAAAATTTAAAAAATGAAATTAACAACACGCTCAAAAATACTTAAAAATTTTTTTAACACACAAACAAGCACTTATACAGGTAAATAACACTATAATTTTCCTAAAATAAGTCTATAGTTCAACTAAAATTTCTAAGTCAAAAGATAATTCTGCGCTTCCCCGACAACGGCACCAGAAACTTGATCCCACGACTATTTGTGCGTGCTTATTGTGTAATTACTTCAATTTTAAACTCCGACAAAAGCATCAAAAACTTGATTCCCACTGCCCGTATATGTTTGCACCCTTAATTCTCGACCGAGTGCTATTTAATAAATAATTCTCATTTTTCTCCACAATTTAATTTTACGCACTAAGGATACTACACAAGTGTCTATATCATTTCAAGTAATATAGGGCTTTCTCTTAGTCCCCAAGCATCGATCCCACAGGGAAGAAAAAAACTCTTTTTGTAGACTTAAGAAAATTTTACTTAAACTGCAAGTAACTTATCTAGGAATTAAGATTGAAATTATATAAAGAAGTAACTAATACCTGCAAATTCTATTTCTAAACTTAAAGAAAATGCTAAATGTTTCTAAACTAGTTTTATGTGGAAGAGTTCAAATTATATGAAAATCTTTTTCCTTACAATGAGATTATAATCAGTATAGGAATCGAATGTTTATAAATTTAAATGAAGTTTCGTGACAAATAGAAGCATACATATTCTTTACCCTCTTCCGAGTGCATAAAAAATATTGACTAACATAGAATTAATTTTCTAAATCCTTGGTTATGTTAGGTAGGTTCTAGCCTGTCACCCTAGATTGCCCAAATAAGCCCTCAGTTGGGGCTAACGTAGCCTCAAGTTCCAAACCCTAGATCAAATTGGTTAAGATTTCAGCCTGTCACCCTAGAATCACCAATTTACACCCGTCAAATCTTATCTCCCTATCTGTTTGCACTTATCACAAATATTACTTTTTCTTCATTCTAAAGGTTATTGTGATAATTACTAATCGAGAAAAAGCATATCCCTCCGGGGTCATTACATTTTCACAATATGTTTTTACTTATGAATTGGCCAAATTGCATAAGCAAATTAAGCATGAAGCAATCTCATCACACGGAGAAAGATAAAGAAATTTCCTTAGATTTCATGGGGAAAATAGAGCAACACATGGATTGATATTTAAAATCAGGTTTACAAAATAAACTTACAAGTTTACAAACTCAAACAAAAATACAAAACACTTATCTCAGACTCCTCCTCAAGCAAATCTCCTGAAGTTCCTTTGAAGAATTCTTAACTCTCCTTCCACACCACACACTAGCAACAAAACCTCTCTGCCCTACACTAACCACCTCTCTCACCACTTCTCTACCCCTAACAAAAAGCTCCTCTTTACTTGATGAGACACATCCTTATAATAACCTTAGAAATACCCTAAGCGTCACTTCAGATGTCCCTTCAAAATTTGTCCAAATACTTTGTATCTAAAAAAACTTATTATTGCGCTTAGGCGCCAGTTTGGGCACTTAGGCACCAACGTTCTAGAAGCTTGAAAAATGCCTGACGCATATGTGCCAGATCCATATGCGATGGTGTCGTGCTCTCTATTTCATGTACATGGTCTGATGCTTAAGCGCTAAAAGCTGGAGCCTAGGGACCAGTTCGCATTGTTCTCCTTTGCTCTATTTGACCCAATTTTGCTATGTTTCGCTTCTTTTTCTCCAAAACTCCATCTCCTATACCTAAAACCAAAAACACACAAAATACCTTCCATTAAATTACAACATCATTAAAAATGAACATAAAATGTTTCTAAAAAAGTAGCATATTTTTAGTCATGTCACTGACACTATTGTAGCCACTAACTATAGCCTTTGTAGCCGACTAACACTATTACAACTTTCAAATGCAACTTTTATGGCCAACTTCTGCTATTACAACCACCACCCATGTCTTATGCGGTCAATTACCGCTATTACAATCACCAACTAAATCCTCTAGGATCTATTACATTTGTTGTAACTCAATTACATATTTTATGGTTGAACTGCTCTTACACATGTGTGATTATCAACTTTGTATTTCCATATTATCTAATTCAAGAGATAGTGAGCCTATTTACTTATAATTATATGGTGTATTACTTTGTCTGGGATAGACCTTGTGATTTTTTTCCCTTTCAAGAATTTTTTCACATAAAAATTCATAATGACGCTGAAGCATCTCCTATTTCATCTAGAAGTGGGAGTGGTATTTTTTATGACGATATGCGACACCTGGGTCGCAGGTGCAAGGCAGAGTCAGACCGAACAATCCCACTTCTAATTCCATTCCAATTTGTAGCACATTTCATTTTATCCACCATACATTTCTAGTCCTTAAATATGTATGTATGTATTAGAATTTAGATTCTTAGTTTTATTCGAGACAACCACCGACGTCTCCCATTTCTCTATGAGGGTTCTATCTAAGGATTTGAGTGGTGCTCCGACTATATCTCACTCCCGAGGTGGTGATTATCTTCACAATCACCTTTTGTATCCTCCACACATAGTTTCATACCATCTTCAATTACTGCAGCCGACCCTGAACATCTATCATCTATTTTTTCCCTGCAATTTTTCTATCTTCAAGCTGTTGACATCCGTGTTTTGTCTTGTTGCACTTATCCTGGACATCGAGGAGTTGCTATATTTGCTTGTTCCAACATCCCCAACCGTTCCCATCACATGCTATTATTGTTATCCAGCTATACCAACCTGTCCTACCATTTGTTAACCTTCACAATCATCTTAACTCTCTACCTTGTTGTTGCCACCCCCAAACATCAAACTGTTGCTGTTTGGCTTGACATTCCTTACTGCCTATCCACCTACCTTACTGCTACCACCAAAACAACAATGTATCGTCTCTTGTCCAACTGTTCTATTGTTGCTTTCGCTCTTTTCTGCTTGTTGCCACCTAGGATAGTAAGCCGCCGTTGTTGTGTCGCTATGTCCCCACAGTCCAGCCCCTCCTCTACCTTGTCGACACCTTTCCACCACCACCCTAAGATCCATCCTTGTGGGCGTTTGTGTATCTTGTCTTTTGTTATTTTACCTTTCAAGTGTATAGGTTGTAATCAAGTACTTACTTTCAGTAATAATAAATTTTTTTTCTTGTTGATTATTTGGATTAACTCTCGTATCACCTTGTATATTCTTTTGTTATTTTTTTTAATTATATGTGCGTGTTGAATTTTAAAGTAATATTAATATATTAAATTATTACTCTATTGTCGTAAAAAATCCGCACACAACAATTGATATTTTTATATGATGTTAAAAATATAGGTGTTATGCATGTAAAATTTAGATTTAAGATATATAAATATATAAAAAATATGTGATATTGATGTAAATGACTTTCTCTGTATATATAGATTTAAGATATATAAATATATAAAAAATATGTGGTATTGATGTAAATGACTCTCTCTGTATATATATATGTCGCGTATTCAGATCAGTTAGTCAGGCCATATAATTGACAGTTATAAGTCCCCTGGAGAGTGTCTTGAATTTTTTAGGTGACTCTAAAATAAAATTCTATTTTTTCTATTAAACATCGCAAAGAGCTGCGAGCTCGAAAGATGGGAAGAGGAGGAAAGCAGAAGCTACTAGAAACATCGCGTTCTTGAGGGTTCAAGGATCGACAGGGGAAGATTTGTTTCGTGGGGGCAAACACGATCTATAAAAGAGAAGAAGGGCAAGAACCCATCAATGGATTCTATGAACATCGATGACGTCCATGGTGCCCGTCATCAGACTGAGGATGCTGAACCCTTTATGACGGCAACAGCGGTCGTCCGTGATGCCTCGGGACTCACAGTTGTCGACGGCCGTGAGAATAGTTGGCCACTCCTTGATTTGGCACGGCAGCTTGTAACGCAGGGCAAGCCTTCTCTTGCTCTCCGGGCGGTGAGTTTGCGTCGGGCCTGAAAACCTATCTGTACTTTTCTTTCACTAAAGCTTGGTTTTGATTTTTATTCTTTTAGTTAGTGTAACTGTGAATTGATGCTTATTGTTTTAATATAAAATAAATTTATAGATTTTGAGCTTCAATTTTAAGCAAGTAGCAAGCATATATATAATAGAAAAGTAAAATTAAGTGAAGTAGGACAAGCCTGTTGGACTGAGTTACGGAAATTTGACGCCATCTTTAATGACTTTGCATCTTTTCGATGGAGTTTCATGGTTTCTATTTTTGTAAGATACATCTCCGATTCTTTACCTTCCATGAGTTTCATGAAGATATTTATTAATCTTGTGGCCAAGTAATGCATTAAAAAAACTGAAAAATTTATACAGCATAATAAAATTGGCTAGAATGAGTGTGAAGAAGGGAGTTTTATGGCTTGTCATGAATTATGAAATTATCATTATGGCGAAATCATGATTCTATTTACAGGCATAGACCTTTTTAATAAAAAAAATTATCAATAAGGAACGCTGTATCCTTGCATGAATTATAGAGACACATTCTTTCATGGTTTATGGGGAGTTATATTTGTTCGTGGCAATTATGTATGTTGTACAATTTCATGATTTGGAGCTCTTCCATTATAATTGTAATTCCTCCTTTACTTTAAAGCCAAAATAAATAAATAATATAATATTCATATAACATGTTCAAGGTTTGTTTTGCTTTTATTGAATCATTTGGATTTGTTAGGATTGATTTATATGGGCTGGGGATAATTCATTGTTGCAAATGAGGATTTGGCAAAAGAAGATGAGTTAATGAATGGTCAAAACTTATACTAAATGGTGTAAAAAGAGAGGTTGAGGAATTAAGTTAGCGAGCATGCATTGATTGATTTTCTAGGTTCAAAGGTGATTTATGGACGTGCAACTGATGCATTATGATAGTTATGGCTGTCACTCCTGGAATATCATTTTTTGTGCTTCAGTTATTTAAATTGCTTTTTCTCTTGATGAACATACTTTTTGTTAATTTATTTTTTTTTTTGAAACATTTAAGTGACATTTATACCTGCTTCTGAATCACATGATTGGTAATTGTAGTTTTCTTGTCAGGGAGTACTAGGTAAAGCTTGTATCTTGTCCATGACTGAGCATAAAAAAACTTGGCGGACAATGAGAAGAAGATATGCATGACTAGTTACTCATCCATTAATAATCCTACTAGATATGACTTCACTAAATATCTAAATTTAGATTGCTAGAATAGTCACTTTATCTCTTCTCACTCTCTCTCCAAAAATAACTAGTTGTCCATAGCGTTTCCTTGCTTTGATGTCAACTAAATTGCGTAGGAACTTGACTTGTTGATTGCTGCAGGCTGCCTTGGAAAATTTTTGGTATCTGTTTTTGTTTTTGCCATATGACTTGGATGTTATTTAAACAATTTTCTATGTTCTTTATGTCATTTTATGGCTTTTGGTGCATAATCATTTTTAGTTTTTTTTTCCAATTTTGATAGTGGTAGTTTGCTAATAATTTGGCTATTTATTTACATCCTCATTCCTCAATGCTACCATGTTTGTCTTCAGGTATAGTATTATTAGTTATATAATTCAGTTTGTTGGCTTGAATAAGATTTTGATCGGATGAAAAGACCTGTCTTCATCTATTTTAGGAATTTAATCTTTGATTAAGTTCATGACATTAAGCTCTAACAAGTCTTGCTCATGCGTGTGGCCTGAGTTACTTTTTTTAATCTTTTCTTTTGTTTTATTCATCTATTTATCTTATCTGTTTTTCTGTCGTTTCAGTATTGCCATGCAACAAATTAATATTAGATCCATGATTTTGAATTTGTCTTTGTTTTCTTACACTGATTACAAGTTCCATTAAGATTTGTTGAATTTATTCATTTTTTTCCTCTCAATATCTTTATGATTTTATTAACTCCTTACAAATAGCTTCCATATTTAAGTTTAACTCACACTTCGCCATGGCATCTCTCTACAAAATCTAAACGCAAGCAATCCTCAACATCCTATTGGTTCTTTCATACTATTTTGATTTTTGTCATTTTGGCACACCATTTGTCCTCAAGCATACATTTAAAGTCACCCTCAAACACATTTGATTTCATCTGTGAACAAGTAATTTTCACATGAACCATACTCAAGCCTTTGGATTGTAACTTTAACTTCTTTCATGAAAAGCTATAGACCCACTTCCTTCCAAATTGGCCATCCACTTTCATTTATGATGTGACCATTACCATTTTGCTAGCTTTCTTTTTTGCTCAAGGGATTCAAGTTGTTTTCTAGAAAATCAATTACAAGTTTGAGATTTGATTGTAGGCACTTTTAAGGTCCCAACTTTATGGTTTGGATTTTTGTTTTATGCTGATTGTCAAAATTTGAACTTGTATTTTATGTTTAGGGCTGTACTAATAAACTTGTTGAAATAAATGGCCTATATCACTTTTTTTGTGGGTACCATATAGAGAAATATGATCAACCTAGGATGAAAAAAACTAGCAGCACACAAATATGGTGTGAAACAATGAAACAATCATATTAACAAAAACACAAATTTTATGTGGTTCGATGAAAAAAGATTTGGACCTTGGTATTAGGAGGCATAAAATATCCAACAACATAAATGTATGGAGTACAAAATAAGTGGAGTACAAAAACATATATCCATTTTTCTTTACAAAAGGATAACAAAAAGAGTGCAGAGAATATCTCACGGAAACAAACTTGTAATTTTTCTTAAGGAAAACTTCATAGGACAGAAGAAGTTCCCATATCGATAAATCTCTAAGAGAAGAAGCATTCCGTACAATCACCCAATCTATGGTCCCACACTCGCATGCTTTCTCTCCTCCTTCACACTTGGCTCCATCTCTCTTTCTTGTTTGATCCTCTTTCAGTTTGATGCCTTAGGAGCCATGTCTATTGTATCATTGACTAGGAGAAGAAAGCCACTTCACTTCACTTATGATAAGCTTGACTAAGAGCAAATCAATTGAAAAAAGATTAATGTGTGACTAAACAAACTTTATGCCAAACCAAAAAACCCAAGAGACTTTTAGGCAATTCCAAGATGATCTTTCTAATATATAAACCTTTATAACATTAAAGAGCAAGTAGTTAACTAAGTAGATGCTCAATTTCTCCAAACCTTTTGAATAAAGGCTTAAAAGGCATCAATAGCTGTACAAGTGAATCAAATCCAATAGTGATTGGGCTTAACAGGGTTCAATCACATTGGTAAGCATGTTTGCAAGATTATGCCATATACAAATCTTCTAAACTAAATTCTCACCATCTTCAACCTTCTTTTTGATGAAATGATAGTTAATATGAATATGTTGGTTATCTCATGCTATTTTTGAGCTTTGACCAAGTGATTAGCACTATGATTGTTATCGGAAACAACCAATCTACCCAAGTGCAAGCTCAAAATTTCAACCAAACCTATTAATTAAATAATCTTTTTAATAGCTTCAATAATAGTCATTCTTTTTTTTTAGTGGTCAAAAAAATTATAAGCTAAGGCTAGCCTTGTAACTATTGACACACATGGACAGATTAAATACACACTCAATCTCAGATTCATTGTCAAGATTATCAATACTGTTAGAGAAAAAAAAATTACCACATTTAGATCTATCTTTGCATAAATCAAACCATAACTTCTAGTGACTCTGGGGCTCCAAAAAATTCATTTAATTGTTTCTTATTATGTATGACCATGCATATCCATGTATATGTTCACAACATTGACAATATATGAAATGACCAAATATGTGTGTACTATAACATAAATAATACCTCCAGTTAATTGCACTAACACTAACATTGTAGTTATATATGTGTCCATTTTCAACGATGTATGAGAAGTTGGTGATAATTGAAAGTAACTAGCAAGCGTAAGAATGCAAGCTTTGCATAATGCAAACTAATCATTCTAACACAATTTCAAAATATCTCTTTTGTGTTAGAAACGAAGTGGTATACTTCCAATCGATGCATTAGGATATATTTTTTTTTAATTTCAACCCTCAAATTTGCTTTAATTCTTGTATTTGTGGCATATCTCTAGTTATAGTCAGAATATCATTAACATATAGGAGTGGTACAAAATATTTATTTACAAGCCTCTTTGCCTAGAAAATTACTTTAGAACGCATAGAGACTTATTAAAATGACAAATAATTTTCTTTTCCTTTCAACTTTAAAGAGTGTTGATTGTTGCATGTGAGTATATTTAGCCAAATTACCATGGAGAATAGTTGTCTTCATACCCAACTATGCTAACTAGAGGTTTTGCAACTCAACCATTATTAATGAAGTATGAATTAAGTGATGTTTAATGAAAAGTGAGAAAACCTCCTTTAAGTTTACTCATTTTTTTGGCTATATTCCTTTGTAGCTAAATGAGATTTGTATTTAAAACTTTTTTCAACTAGCATTTATTATTTGTACTTAGAGAGTAGATGACCATTTTTTTTTGCTTTAAAGAGTTGACTCGAGTTCATCTATTATTATTATTGTTGTTGTTGTTGTTGTTGACGAGACTCCAATTTTTCTATCATAATATTAGTTTACTACTTTTATTCTTTCCCCCTAATAACTTTGGATGGTTCTTCATCACCACTTGACTAAGCAATACTTAAGCGCATGCAATTATATCATTATAAGAGGATTTCTAATAGTCAAATCTTGGAGGTTGTCTAATCTAGAATTTTGTCTTATAAGAAGCTATAATTTTGTTATTATTATGGTGTTGTTTTCTCCTCTTGAGGTATTGTTGCAATAGTTTTTCTTTTTAAAAACCAAAGTTGAGGGCAATATATATAATAGTAACTCAAAGCTAGAAACCAATAGCAAATTGAGAAAAAATAGGTATAAGGATATGAAATATGCTCATCATTGTCCTAGAAGCCCAAAGAGAAACAATATAAGATTTAAAATGTCAATTTAATTTAGTTG